TGAAGCTACATGACCGTGTGAAGCTAAATGTCATTAAAGTAGTGATATTTGTTGTTTGTTATTTTGGACATTTGTTAAGACATGTGTTATGTTATGTTGAACAATTATATCAAAAAAAAAATTTATTCCCCATTACGTAGTGTCTTGGACATTTGATGAGGTATATCGTGTTATGTTGTTTGTATTTTCAATATTTCTTCATTTGTTGTTTGAATTATATCAAATTTAAGTAGTTATTGGAGCATGTTGTTGAATTTTTAAATGTTGAATTTGTTTAGAATTTTGGATTACGTTGGCTTGGGCTTGGGCTTGGGCGGGGATTAAAAAATTCTCCGTGGATAGGGATGGAGATGAAAAATATACTCGTTAACAGAGGTGGACCGGAGATGAAAGAAGGTTTTTTAAGCGGGTACGAGAATGGATACTATACCCCCCGCTCTCACTTCGGTCCACTGACATCCCTAATTGGACCCTATTGTCATTATCTCGTGTCTCTCTTTGGTGACACTGTTTGTCTGACAATTTTTTGAGTCCCTCTTTAGGTGCAACTCTTTGAGTGGATAAATATATATTGTTATCATTTATGGTCAATCTATTGTTGTCACTCGTTACTGACACTACTTGTGATGCCTCTAAAATCGGGGGTCATTTATTAACCGTTGACCATTCGTCAACTTGCGAAAATACCCATGATTGTCGCACAACTAGGCGACACGTCAATAACATTTCCTTAACCAGGATTATAACTAACATATTTAACTCGTGCATGTTTTACCATTTGGCCCAATCGAGGTCCAATATGCTACAATTTATACTTATTTGATGTTAATTTATATCCTTGGAACTAAAGAACACATAACCCAAAAGCCTGACAATGCATTCTTAAAATTTCAGATTTTTTTTTTGATAAAGTTATCGGTAGGTTTTTATGGACCTACCAATAAGTTTTGTTCACTGGAAAAGTTGTACTGGTAGGTTTTAACAAACTACCGGTAGGTTTTACTTACTGGAAAAATTCTATCAATAGGTTAATGTTCTACTGGAAGGTTGATGTTCTACAGGTAGGTTTTGCCCAGAAATGTCTTTTTCACCTATTTTTTATTTCCTAACCCATTCAAAACCATTCCAACACCATCCAAACACATGCTTAATAAGATTTTTCACATAAAACCTAATATATATAAGGTCTATTACAATTAATTCCATATGATTACAAACCCAAAATATACTTTTCACCAAATTTATACAATGGTTTTACAAAAAACGAATTTAAGGCCACAAGTCGATCTTTCCTTGTCACTTGGGCCCCGAAAGTGAGCCATCCATCGGAATGTATCCCGCACCGAAAATATTTTTTTGTATAGGATGAGCCATGCCTAGTAGAGTATCTCTTACAGAGGCTACTCCCCAAACCTAGATGCGTATGAAATGTGCACACATAACATTCAACACAGAAACAATCGTTCCAAACAAGAATATGCAAATTCAATTTTGGACTTCTATCATGTTATGCCATGAAATGAGATGAGATTCACTCATATGTTTTTCCCCAAGCCTTCCTAGCTCCCTTCACACAATGCAATGCCAATGTATGAAAAATTCGCCATTGATGAATTACATTCAATGATCATTTTGAAATAAAGTCATGTGGTTATAAAACCAAGTTATTGTTAAATGTTACACATCGAATGACTATTTTATAGAACAAAACCATGTGTCTTTGTTGGGTAGCGGACTTTTGGTGTCTCATCGATTGCTCCGCAAATCGATACATTTTTTTGGACTTGCATCGTAGGAAGTGTATAAAACCAGTAGTCGGATCTTGCACCCGAGGGAAAGTTTAGCCCTACTTGCTATACCTGACACAAGTTTTTCATGCAATCATGTGATTTTGTTGTACCTTGGTCCAACAGTACCGAACTCATTTATCATCCACCAAGTATGGTGTTTAATCCAACACATGCATGCATGCCCACACCCATGACGATGCCCATGAATGCGATGTTCCCGCGCAAATACAATGTAATACACCATTGCAATCTCAATGTCATGCCCATATGTAAAGAGTGTCACATGAACAAAATTAATCACATTTAAACATATTCCACGACAATTTATATCCAAGGCATATAATTACTAATTCCATCACAAATATCGATGTATCTATAAGCATAAATCAACATTTTTATATCCAATCATACATCACAAACATGTTATTACATATTATATGTCAATAACACACTTTATTCACAAGGCATAATTAAAGCATATAGCATGTCCACATAACACCAAATTCCATGAGATTATACAAGTAATTATCATGTACCAATTTTATGTTAGGAATTTATTTTAAAACCATTCTATACCCATTTTATCATTTTCACCGACATAGATTAATGATACAAGTTTCTATCAAATTACCCATCTCATATAAGCATTTTAGGTTGTAAATAAACCTAAGTAGAAAGGAACCCTACCTCTTGGAGCGTGAAGTGAAATGTGGAGAACCTCAATAACACATTCCAAGTCAAAAAATCTTGATTTTTCAAAATCTCCGCTTTGGATTTTCGGGAAAATCTTTCATTCTTGATGTGATTGCGTAGCCCTCATCGCATACATGAACTTTAACTCTTGGTCCGACGAATTCTGACCGACCGAACTCCGTAGATCGCAAGGAGAAAAGTAGAAATCTTGATTTTTCTCTTCTCTCCCTTCTCTTCTCTTCCAACGTGTGAGACCAGCTGATCAAGTGGGAAAATATCATATATTTTCCCCTATTTATACCCTTTAATTCTGTTGTCCACGTCGCGCCGCACATTTTCTATTTTCGAGTCCGTTTTTGTCCTGAAACGATTTAATTTTATCCCGATTTAAGTTCAATTTATTTTTATTTGAACTTTTCTTTAATTTTATGAAAATTTTATATAAATTTTATTTTGGAGGACGTTTATGAGGTCATTTGTCACCCGATTGTCTCGGAAAACGTAAAAAATTCGACTATTTTGTAATTTAATGAAATTTGACGGGATAACTAGATTTCGCAAGACGAATCCAATGGTGAGGTTCGTTTCATCATTCAAGTTCTAGAAAATTTTGGGTTTACAACCCATACTATAGTGACAAATTATCATTTTACCATTTTTCATAAAAAATTTAAATTTACCTAGATTTTACACTACTTGGGCATTATCAAGGGGGCATTATCAAGGGGACATTACATGATGTCATTGATTGGACCCTCATTATCATTATCTTGTATCTCTCTTTGGTGTCACTGTTTGCGTGACAATTTTTCGAGTCTCTCTTTAAGTACAATTATCACATTCTAGTCATGAAAATCTCATAATCAATTAGGTATGCACTATTTTTATAGTAGGGGTAAAAGGATATTTATGAATTTTTTTTAATAGATGTACTTTTATCCCAATAATTTTAAAAAGTGTACTTTTATCCTATTAAATTTTTAGGGAGGTACCGACCTCCCTGAGCCCCATCGTCATATTCAATGGATAACCAACACGTTGGCAAGTAATCCAGCCTTAGGACGAGATTTTGTGGGTTGAACATGCTGGCCCATGAGGCATTGTTTCTAGGCCTATCAATGTATCGGGTATGGACCAGATTTTCTTATATTTGAATTCGAATTCAATTAAGCTTTTGTTGATTCAGTTCAATCTGGTTTTTCGATAAATATGAAAAATTCAATTCATGTCTGTATCCATTAATTTTTGGATACTTGATCCAATCTGATTATCACAAAAAATAAATGTATACCAAAAAATTAACAATAAAATTTTAGACAATGAACTAAAAAAGGAAGAAAAATGAAAAATTAAAGTGAAAGCACTTAGAAAAACTAAACAAGAGAGGAAAACAAAATAAAATTTGAGAAAATGAGTTTTGCATTGTGATATTTATTTAATTTTTATTTATTTTCTCGTATAAATATGATATATGTTTGATATTTATTTACATAATATATATATTAGCGATATCCCATAACTAAAGTCACTGTACACTAAATTATAACATTATACATGCATTAAAATGTGTGTTGGAGTGTGTGTATGTATGTGCAGCTGTGTGTTATGAAATGTGTATGTTGGGGGATAAAAGTGTGTGTTAGGTGTGTGAAATTACCTCCCATAAGTTCAAACATCTATTTAATTTATTATATATTTATATAGGTCGGATTAATAACGAATTGAATAATTATAAATTTATATCCGAATTCGTTTAGACAACTCTAATCTGATTTGGATTGAATCAGATTAATGAATTAAAAGCTGATCTATATCTGTANTACCTCCCATAAGTTCAAACATCTATTTAATTTATTATATATTTATATAGGTCGGATTAATAACGGATTGAATAATTATAAATTTATATCCGAATTCGTTTAGACAACTCTAATCTGATTTGGATTGAATTAGATTAATGAATTAAAAGCTGATCTATATCTGTTTAAACGGATTCAGATTTGAATTCGGGTTGAAATTCGGTTCATTGATGGCCTAATTGTTTCCCATTGCAGGGTCGGACCGACCCGCACCCAATATTCAGATAGTAGCGTTAGTTTACCGTTTGTTTCATCAACTGCGCGCAAATTTCGAATTTAATCCAACGGTCCAAAAACCACTGATTACATGTNGTTCATTGATGGCCTAATTGTTTCCCATTGCAGGGTCGGACCGACCCGCACCCAATAATCAGATAGTAGCGTTAGTTTGCCGTTTGTTTCATCAACTGCGCGCAAATTTCGAATTTAATCCAACGGTCCAAAAACCACTGATTACATGCCATTAGCACAGCTACTCATATTTATACACTTCTCTCTCCTCTCCTACTTCATCTCCCCGCCATTTCTTCCTCCGAAAAACCACCACATTGCCTGTCCGTTCCAACCAAACCCTAACTCTTTTTTTTCTTTCTTTCTTTCCAATCAATGTTCTTCAACTTGATCTCACAAATCCGAAAAAACGTTTTGGATGATCGAAATGATCGTAGAGAAGAATGTCAGCAATGCACTTAAATTCCTCTCTCTCACAATCTTTGTCGCGGTCATTGCATTGAGTGTACTCGGGCACGTAAATTGTGCCGCCGATGATGATCTGGACTTATCTCAATCGACTAGTCCCGCCGCGCTCAATCTCTTCACCCAGGCGTTTTATAGTCGGTTTAGTAATTTTACCTTAATATTCAAAGACGATATCTCCAGAGAGCTGGGTTTTTGTATCCAAGACGTGTAAGTATTTCACTACACTATATGTATCTGTGATAGATATACGTATATTTATATATGTATAGTGAGGTTTTGATGTTTCATGGGGTGGTTGTTCGAAGTGAAGTTTTGATTTGTTGTTTTTGCAGGGATAGTGAGTGGGATGCTACGTTTAATTTCTCGACCAACACGGAATTTTTATCCAATTGCATCAGAAAGACAAAAGGTATGGAGTGTTACCTATCATTTTACTACGAAATTCGTTCGTTTCATAAGTTCAATTGATGTCATCCAGCCTGCTCGACAAAAAAATATTCATCTCCGATAGATATGAATTCAAATCCACTATATACACGTGGATCTCCACTTATGCACAGTGATTTTCATTGAAGAAAATCCAGAGAAAATTTGTGAGGGAATCTTGTTTCAAAAAAAGTGCCTCACAGTTTAGTCTTCATTAGTGAGATTGGAAATGTGTACATATGTAGTTTTTTTATTACTTGCACAAATTAACTGCTTTCATATCTGAACTAACAAATTGGAAGTGCAATTTTTTGTAGCGAAGAGATTAATCAAAGCATTGAGATGTATCTACATTACTGTGTTCGAACCTAAGCCTAATGGAGTACTAATTTTTTGTGGTTAAGAGCTCAGTTGTAGTTTATATAAATAAATTTTGTCCGATGAAGAGAGTGGTTGTTCTGATAGCATAGAGAAAAGTAATTGAAATGTGGTTGGCTGCCCAACTTCCGTAGCAGAGGGCAGAATCGCAAAGCAATCACTGGGCCACCACTGGTGTCATTAGTGCAGAAGCTCATCCTTTTGTTTGGCCAGAAATGCTAGGGACTCCACGATATATGCCATCCTGAACGCACTAACAGAACTAGGCCTACCTAAAGGCAACACAAATATCAAAATGGATCTCTCTTCAAATTAATAAATCAAAATGGTGTTTTTTAGAAACCCATCAGAAAGTGCTAAATTGCTCCCCTGTGATTGAAACAGCGATCAATATAAATTTTCTAGCAGATGACAACAATGTCATGGCCATTTAAATGCATGCATTGATTCCAAATTTTTACTATACATTGAATTTCGATTTTTGGCTCTGAAGTAATGGGAATTGTTCTTATGAACCAGCCAAAGACTGTCAATTCACCATAATTCCGTTAAGAACACCAGCTCATAACTGGATGAAACAGCGCAATGAAGCTTCCCTAATTAGCTTGGATAACAAGCTTAATCTATCATTTTCTTTTCTTCTCCTATGATCAGGATTGTTTGGAAAATAACATGTGGTATACTAGTGGTGACGTGATAATTTTCTCAGCGGTAGCAAAATCACCATCATCAGTTCTTTTTCATGGATATGGTGGATATTGACTGTACATAGAATTTTACTCCAAGGAAAGGCCTACATGTGAGCCACCCAAGCATTTAAGGTGGGGAAAGCCTTCGGTTTCCTTATTTTTGCAACAAAGCATGATACAAGCCAAGAATTGGGAGACGAGTAGGACAATAAGAACTGGCACCAGAAACTTTGAATTGGAATGTCTCAGCAGGTTGTTATTTGGAAAATACTAAGAAATAGCTAACAATCATGTGGAGAAGAGGATGTAGATGAAGTGTCTGGGGTTGGTATCAGTTTCATTGCATTGATTCTTTTCGAGGGCGTGATGGGTAATAAACTTGGTGCTATGGGGAGGGACCAAATTAGGTAATGAAATTCTTTTCTAGAACGTGGCTAGTTAACCATGCACACTTGTGGGGAATGGATGTCTAGCACAGGAAGAGAGCCAAAAGCATATAGTCCTTGGGGTTATGCAGGGGCCTTGAGTGACTGGCCTTTTTCTGAAGCACCCTCTTTTTAATCCAGGAGCATGTGCTCATGGAGAATTGTCAAAGTACAAAATTTATGAGTGGTACATGTATCATTTAGGACTGCGACCATGAAAGTGAAGGCGGGCTTGGGTTTAGGCAAAGGTTGGCATTGTGTTTGGTATTCTTCTGTTTGCGTTGAGAGAAATATTGGTGCATTTCACCATGTTTTTGTGCTAATTTGCTCAAAATATAGGCCAATGAACCACGGACACTATNTAAGCCTAATGGAGTACTAATTTTTTGTGGTTAAGAGCTCAGTTGTAGTTTATATAACAACAAAATAAATTTTGTCCGATGAAGAGAGTGGTTGTTCTGATAGCATAGAGAAAAGTAATTGAAATGTGGTTGGCTGCCCAACTTCCGTAGCAGAGGGCAGAATCGCAAAGCAATCACTGGGCCACCACTGGTGTCATTAGTGCGGAAGCTCATCCTTTTGTTTGGCCAGAAATGCTAGGGACTCCACGATATATGCCATCCTGAACGCACTAACAGAACTAGGCCTACCTAAAGGCAACACAAATATCAAAATGGATCTCTCTTCAAATTAATAAATCAAAATGGTGTTTTTTAGAAACCCATCAGAAAGTGCTAAATTGCTCCCCTGTGATTGAAACAGCGATCAATATAAATTTTCTAGCAGATGACAACAATGTCATGGCCATTTAAATGCATGCATTGATTCCAAATTTTTACTATACATTGAATTTCGATTTTTGGCTCTGAAGTAATGGGAATTGTTCTTATGAACCAGCCAAAGACTGTCAATTCACCATAATTCCGTTAAGAACACCAGCTCATAACTGGATGAAACAGCGCAATGAAGCTTCCCTAATTAGCTTGGATAACAAGCTTAATCTATCATTTTCTTTTCTTCTCCTATGATCAGGATTGTTTGGAAAATAACATGTGGTCTACTAGTGGTGACGTGATAATTTTCTCAGCGGTAGCAAAATCACCATCATCAGTTCTTTTTCATGGATATGGTGGATATTGACTGTACATAGAATTGTACTCCGAGGAAAGGCCTACATGTGAGCCACCCAAGCATTTAAGGTGGGGAAAGCCTTCGGTTTCCTTATTTTGCAACAAAGCATGATACAAGCCAAGAATTGGGAGACGAGTAGGACAATAAGNAGGTGGGGAAAGCCTTCGGTTTCCTTATTTTGCAACAAAGCATGATACAAGCCAAGAATTGGGAGACGAGTAGGACAATAAGAACTGGCACCAGAAACTTTGAATTGGAATGTCTCAGCAGGTTGTTATTTGGAAAATACTAAGAAATAGCTAACAATCATGTGGAGAAGAGGATGTAGATGAAGTGTCTGGGGTTGGTATCAGTTTCATTGCATTGATTCTTTTCGAGGGCGTGATGGGTAATAAACTTGGTGCTATGGGGAGGGACCAAATTAGGTAATGAAATTCTTTTCTAGAACGTGGCTAGTTAACCATGCACACTTGTGGGGAATGGATGTCTAGCACAGGAAGAGAGCCAAAAGCATATAGTCCTTGGGGTTATGCAGGGGCCTTGAGTGACTGGCCTTTTTCTGAAGCACCCTCTTTTTAATCCAGGAGCATGTGCTCATGGAGAATTGTCAAAGTACAAAATTTATGAGTGGTACATGTATCATTTAGGACTGCGACCATGAAAGTGAAGGCGGGCTTGGGTTTAGGCAAAGGTTGGCATTGTGTTTGGTATTCTTCTGTTTGCGTTGAGAGAAATATTGGTGCATTTCACCATGTTTTTGTGCTAATTTGCTCAAAATATAGGCCAATGAACCACGGACACTATCAAGAAGGTTAAGTATCTAGGTCGGACACTCTCGGACACGTGTCTAATACTCTTTTATCGACAAGATTTTAATTTCAGACTCATGTCCGACACTTCTTTAGACCGTATCTACTACTAAATAATAAACATGTATATACATTTAACTAATAAAGTTTAAAATTTTTACTAATAAGTATCTTATACTATGTGAAAACATATAATTATTAAGACTAGACATGTTAAAGTTCCACTCAAAATATAATAATAAATGTAAAAGTTGCATAAAAGTTTTAGACAAGAGGAATTGAGAAAATGAGAGCAATGATTTAACCTATATAGTTTGGGTACACATTGTCTACCAAAAAAATATATAATTATTTGACTATTATGATGCTTTAGTCTAAAAATTCACACTAAATGACTAAACATAATATTTACTTAACATAAAGTACTGAATTTTTCATGAATATTATATCATTGATACTATATTGGCGACAAATTATATTATTTTTTATGTAACTCATAATTATATGTAGTGTGTCTCCAACCTGTTTGTGTCTTATTTTTTCAGAAATGTCGTGTCTGTGTGTTCTTGTCCATGCTTCTTAGATATTGGCATAATTCCAAACTGCATAAATCATCTGAAAGATCCCCCATTTAGATCCCAGGCATGTTTGCCTCAAGCTCTTGAACAAAGAAGATCAGCATTGCAACAACTTGTGGAGAATTCTCCAGGCTTCAAGTTCATGATCACATATCGGTTCTAGATGCCACCTGAAATCAAAGGCAGCTAAATAATTTTTCCTTCTCCAATCTCCTCCCATAGTCCATGGTTGTACAGGCTTTCACTGATTTTAGGGTGTGCTACATTTTCCTTGCATTGAAGCTTCGGGGTTTGAGTGTACATTGCTTGATAAACAAGCAATAGAGATACCTTACAAATGTAGCAACTAGTTGTTTGACGAGTTGCTTAGAACGAGAATTTGGGAGAAATATTATTTGGCTTAAGGTGGGGNGATCATACTATCTTCTATTATGATCTTCATACCTCTTCTTCCATTGTCATAAATACCAGTTAAAAAATTTATTTCCCTTCCATGCTATTGATTTTATGTTGTGAACTTGTGTTACACTAGGAAAGCTTGCGATTAATTCTTAAGTGACGTCTCTTTCGCTATCCCTGTAAAAACCATTTTTTTCTTATATCCCCTGATTTCTTAATAGGATTCATTGTTTGTGAATGCAATGGTCTAATTGATGAGTAAAACTTTCGAGCGACTGCTGGAGAATTATAATGCTCAGCATTTTTAGAATACTAAGGGAATGATAGAGAATGAGGCATCATGGTAAAGTGTGCGAGGTTTTGGACACATACTAGATTATATCACCAGCATTATCAATTACAATTACTGATTTCAGTCATGAGGGGGCAAATTGCAGTGGTGAAAGCTTGGGTTGACAATTGTAGTGTTGTGGGTTTAAGCATGAGGACAACCACTTTGTGCTGATAATGCCTTACTTTAGCATCACCCTTAATTAGAAAAGACCAAACTGGGTAATGGGCCTAATGGCTCCTTTTTTATTAAGTTCAAGAATTCTTTTAAGTCAGCTGTAATTATTTTATGAATGGAATAAG